ACGTGCACACGTGTACACAGTCATGTACTCACACATGCATACACCCATGCATGCATTACACACAAGCACACTCACACATGCAAACCCACGTGCACACAAAAGCACACATGTGCATGCACACGCACCCACCTCCACACGTGGACATTCACACCCATGGACACACCCATGCAGCAGCACACACGTACAGGCATTTGCCCATGTGTACACACACATCACACGAGCACACCTCAGTCCTGGGTCTCCCTCCACACTGGCTGCCCTCTCCCAGACCACGGCCCTTCCTCTTCCTCCAGACCCGGTCCGGAAGCTGCCAGAGCCGCAAACCACAGCCCCAGGCTCAGAAAAGGAGAAGAGAGGACGGCGCAGGCCAGAGCCCGCTCCCACGGGCTCCGGGGAGGCTCCTGCACGGGTGCCTCTTCCCCCAACCAGGCGAGGGCGTGTCCCTGGTGCTCTCACCCAGCCTGGCTGCCTCCAGCCGGCCTCCGGCCTCCAGGGTGCCCACTGGGAGTTGCCAGGTGGTCTCTGGCCACCTGTACCTGAGGGTGGCCTCCAGCAGGCACAGATGGGACTGGAGAAGAGGGAGAGAGAGTCAGAGGGAGCCTGGCCAAGACCAGGGGCCCCATCGACCCCTACCCACTCACCCATGCGGCCGTGTCCAGCCCAGGCCAGCGCCAGCAGCTCAGGGGACTCCAGGGCCTACAAGCAGCACCTGCCAGGTGCCCCTCCCCCTCCCAGGCACAGCCTGCTGGGGGCTCCCCCCACCCATGTGATCCTCGCGCTTGCCCAGGGGACCCCAGCATGACCCAGGTGGTCACCACCTGCCCAGCACAAGGGTGCTCTTCCCTCTTGGGGCCATGAGTGACCAGAGCAGCAAGTCCCCTCCGCCTGGTGGACCTGGCGCTGGGGTCAAGGGGCTGTTCATTCCCGCCTCGTGCCCAGGCTCAAAGCCAGTGGCCCCAGGTGGAGGATGGGACTGAGGGAGGACGCCAGGGCCCTGGCTTCCAAGCCGAGAAACTGAAGCTGGGGCCTCCCCTTGCTCGGCTCACGCCGTGGGGAAGCTGTGCGTGAACCAGGAGTCCCTGTGCACAGGTGCAGCCGCGGGGAGGCCGGGAAGCACCGGCACTAAGAGTTGCCCACAGAGCCTGGGCCCAGCTTTCCAGCCCCAAAGCAGCTGCTGACAAAGAGGAGGCGGGCTGGTGTTGGGCCCTGCTGTCCCCGAAGCCCACAATGTGGGGCCTCTTGGGGTGGGGCCTCTGGGAGGCCCTGCCCTCATCCCCTGAAGGAGAAACCGTGCCCCTCACCGGACCCAGGGGCCGCCCCGGTGTTGGAGTGCCAGCCCCCAGAACTCCTCCAGTTTGTGCTGCACAAGGGCACGAAGGCCAGTGGAGGCCCCAGGTCAGCACCAGACGGCTTGACGCACTGGGCCTGGCACAGCCCGTGCGCCCCAAGGGCACAGACAGGCGTCTGTAGAGCAGGAGGGCCGGCCTAACACCTGCCCGCACTCCTGCCGTCCCCACTGCCCCAAGCCTTGTCAAAGCCCAGACAGCAGGGGTGCCGCGGGCAAGTCTGGGCACCACCGGACAAGTGAGGGAGCCAGCTGTGGGGGGCACGAGAGCTACGGGGGGGGGGGGGGGCAGCCTGGGAGGGGGGCCATGGGGTGGGGCAGCCAGGCTGGGGAGGGAGCATGGAGGGGTGGCCTGGCTGTGGGGAGCACGAGAGCTAGGGGGGGCAGCCTGGGAGGGGGCCATGGGGTGGGGCAGCCAGGCTGGGGAGGGAGCATGGAGGGGTGGCCTGGCTGTGGGGAGCACGAGAGCTACGGGGGGCAGCCTGGGAGGGGGGCGTGAGAGCTACGGGAGGGGGGTGGCCTGGCTGGGGGGGATGCGGGGCGTGGAGACAGGCTGGCTCTGGGGGGGTTGTGAGAGCTACAGGGGCAGCCCATGGGGCTACAAGGGGAGGAGCCAGTCAGAGCTGGGACAGGCGAGAAGGCCTGAGCTGCCTGACGGGAGGTTCACAGCCACCTCCGGCTACCTCATTCAGCACGGGCATCTCCACACTCTCCCCAGCCCCCTCTCTCCCTCCAGAAGTTCTATTTTTTCAGATTTATTTAGTTATCTGAAAGGCAGAGTTAGAGACAGAGGTCTTCCAGCCACTGGTTCACTCCCCAAACAACAGCCCTGCCCAGGCCGAAGCCAGGAGCTTCTTCCGGGTCTCCCTCGTTGATCCAAGCACTCGGGCCATCTTCCGCTGCTCTCCCAGGTGCAGCGGCAGGAGCCGGCTCGGAAGCGGAGCAGCCAGACTGGAACCAGCGCCCACACGGGATGCCAGTGCAGCAGGCGGTGGCTTCTCCAGCTACACCGCAGTGCCTGTCCCTCTCCACCACCGCCGCAGCTCCTGAAGCCTCTCGTCTTCCCAAACTGAAGCTCCGTCCCCGTGACACCGACACCCGAGGCCCCTCCAGGAAGCCCCTGGCGTCCCCCCTTCTGGCTCAGCCTTGAGCCATGGCGTCCTGTGGGGTTTGTCCCTTGGTGTCGTCGGGTCACTCGGCAGTATCTTCAAGGCTCCGTGTTGCGGTGTGGACCAGGAGTTCTCATCTCCAAGTCCCGACACTGCTCCCCGGCTGGCACGGCCACGGCCACGGCCACGCTTCCTTCAGTCACACAGAACACTCGACGCTGCAGCTGCCGGGGCCGGCCCCGTGGCGCCGCAGGAGTGAGTCAGCAGCCACCAGTCCCGGCCGCCCCACTGCCGTCCAGCTCCTGGCCGATGCACCTGGAAGACAGTGGAAAGCAGCCCAAATGCTTGGGTCCCTCCCCCACTGTGGGAGACCCGCAAGAAGCTCCTGGATCCTGGCTTTAGCCATTTGGGGAGTGAATCAGCAGATGGGAAATCTCTCTCTCTAACTCTGCCTTTCAAATAATTTTTTTTTTTTTGACAGGCAGAGTGGACAGTGAGAGAGAGAGACAGAGAGAAAGGTCTTCCTTTGCCGTTGGTTCACCCTCCAATGGCCACTGTGGCCGGCGCTGCGCTGATCCGAAGGCAGGAGCCAGGTGCTTTTCCTGGTCTCCCATGGGGTGCAGGGCCCAAGCACCTGGGCCATCCTCCACTGCACTCCCGGGCCACAGCAGAGAGCTGGCCTGGAAGAGGGGCAACCGGGACAGAATCCGGCGCCCCGACCGGGACTAGAACCCGGCGTGCCGGCGCCACAAGGCGGAGGATTAGCCTAGTGAGCCGCGGCGCTGGCCTCAAATAAATATTTTTTAAAAACTGGAGCTGCCATGAAAAACCTAGAAATTTAAAACTTTGAGTCCCTCTGCGTCCAGCGTCTGCATCTCACAATGATGATCGCCTTTCCTTTTCTGTTTAATGAGAGAGAGAGAGAGAGAGAGAGAGAGAGAGAGAGTCCATCCACTGAAGATCACTCCCTCAGTGGCTGCAACAGCCAGGGCTGGGCCAGTCTGATGCCAGAAACCAGGAGCTCTGTGCAGGTGTCCCACGTGGGTGCCGGGGCCCAGGCACTCGGGCCGTCCACTGCTGCTTTCTGGACCGGAAGTGGTGTAGCGGGGACTCTAACTGGCGCCCATCTGGGATGCCAGCACCGCAGGAGGCGGCTGAACCCTGACCCCACTGAGCTCGCATGCAAGTCACCCGCCCCCCCTGGGCCAGTGTTTCTGTGGGCCAACTACTGGAGGTGCCGGCTGGAGGCCACCGGGGCCAGTCCCAGCAGTCAGGCAGGAGCAGCCGCCTGGAGTGGCCTCGCTGCTGCAGGGGGCTCCGGGGAACCTGACGTCCAGTCTGGCCTCAGGTCACTCAAGTGGGCAGAGGGGCGGAGTCGGAGCACAAGGGGCAGAAAGGCGGGAGCAGGGCGCTCCTGGGGCTGGGGGATGCCTCACACGGGGGCCGCAGCCGGTGCTGGGGCAGCTGGGCAGCACCGCTCCCGCCGGGGTCCCTCCTGGGCGCCACAGGCACCAGCTCTGGTCCCGGTGACACCCCCTTGTCCTGAGCCGTTCCGAGAATGAGCAGCAGGCCGAGGGGTTGCCCCAAGCCCTGCAGCTCCTCGAGGCGCTGGCAGGAACTGCAGGGAGTGGGCGCCAGGCTCCTCCTGCCCCCCTCCCCCGCCTTCCCGCAGAAGAGCTAGGAGCACATTGTGTCCACGAGGTGCAAAATCCACCTCTGACCCGTGAGCCCGAGAACCTGGTTCCAGGCCTGACTGGTGCCCGGGGCCCCAAAACCTGACCTCCAGACGTTGGGGGTCAGGAGGCTGGATGGAGCAGAGTGTGGCTGGGGATGCGTGCCCTGGTGCTCGCCTTCAGCAGGCTGGGGAGCACGCGGAAGCCCCAGAAGATCGCCCTTCTTGGGCCCCCCCCCCCGGGGTGTCTGGAGGGGACCAACCCCGTCGGGATGCCTGGAAGAGCCCCCCACCGTCTCTGCGGGCAGAGCTCAGGCACAGGGATCCAGAGCTGCCTTCGGCCTTAACTTTGGAGTCCGTGACCTCCTTCGCAAGGACGCCCAGACCCCACGAAGCTGGGACCCAACGCTGACTCCGGCCAGCGCCCAGCCTCACCCCGCGTCCTTCCTGCGGGGGCCCGCACGCCGTTTCCGCGCTCGCAGCCTACAGGGCTCCCTCCGGATCGGGGCGGGGGCGGGGGCGGGGGGAGGTGTCAGCTCCAGCCCCGGGAGCCCCCGACCCCCGTCTCCTTCCTGCACACGACCCGCTCGGGTCCTTTCCTAGGTCGGTCGCGAGGCATCTGCGGGGCAGGGGACGCCGGCACGTGGTGCCCGCTGGCGACAAGACGACGGGTGGCCTTGGGTGGCGGGGACCGAGGGGCGAGGGGCCGGGGTCCGGCGTTGCGGGCGCGGGGCGGGCAGTGCGCAGGAGCTCGCTCGCCCCGCCCCAGCGGCGAGGCCCCGCCCACCGAGCGGCGAGGCCCCGCCCCGCCGGGTTGCTAGGGGAAGTGACGTCACAGCACGATGGCGGCGGTTCCTTTAGGCAGCTGAAGGGGGATTTAGGCCCGGAAGATCCGAGTCCATCCGCGGCGGGGAGAGGGCGAGCTGGGCCGGCACGGGCCGGAGCAGGGGCGGCGGCGCTCGAACTGTCCCATCCGCCCCGTATTGAGGCGCTGGGAGCGGTGGAGCGGCCGGAAAGCTATGGTGAAAGCGGGGCCGTGAGGGGGGCGGAGCCGGAGCCGGACCCGCAGTAGCGGCAGCAGCGGCGCCGCCTCCGGAGCTCAGACCCAGGAAGCGGCCGGGAGGGCAGGGGCGAGCGGGCCGCCGCCATGGAGCTGAGAGTCGGGAACAGGTACCGGCTGGGCCGGAAGATCGGCAGCGGCTCCTTCGGAGACATCTATCTCGGTGAGGCCCCGCGAGCCGCCGCCGCCCCTCCCCCCGGCCGCCCCTTCCCGCGGGGGACCCGCACCCCGCAGCTGTCCGAGGCCGGGCGGCCGCGGAAGGCGGGGGCGAGGGCTCAGGAGCCGCCGGATCGTGGCCAGAAACCATCGGCCGCTCGGCGGACAGCGGGGTCTGGGGGTGGGCAGGACGTGGGGGGGGTCAGCGAGGCCTAGGGGGAGGGGACAGCGGCGCCTGGGGATGGGCCGGGCCGGGGGCGCAGTGGCACCGAGCAGTGGGACGAGGTCCGGTGAGGAGGGGGCTGGACAGCAGGATCGGGGGCGCGGGGCCTCCGGGAGGGGGTGCCGCCGGGTCTAGGGGTCTCCGGGCCTGGGGGCGGGCAGGGCCTGGAGCAGGCAGGGGGCAGGGCCGGGCGGCAGCGTCCTCCGCTGGCCTGAGGTCGCCGCCGTCAACAAAGGCCACTGTCCCCCGTCTGCGGTGGGTCTGGCGCCTGCTGGGGCACCCGCATCCCCGCACTGCACACGTGTGGGCGAAATGTCAGCATGACCTGCGTGCTGGGGGCGGTGGGGGGGTCCCTGTCAGAAACGGCTCCTGGTGGCTTCCGCTGGCCCCCTTGCAGGTAACTGACCGGCCGCGGGCCCTGTGGGCCGCCCCTCCCCCCCGCGCACGCACACACACGCGCGCACACGACACCTTAGTCCCCAGTAGGAGGGCGGAAAGTGTTGTCTGGGCCGGGACGCGCCCCGCAGCCATTTCCGGGACCTGTGGGCCCTCGTCCGTGCCCAGGTGTGGGCCCCGGCAGAGGCCAGTGACGGGTCGGGAGGCGCACGGTGCGGGATTTCCCGGGAGCTTGGTTCCGCGGTGGAATCCCGTTCCTGAGTGACTCCGAAGCCCGGGCCGGCAGGTGCACTTGCTGTGAAGGGCGGGTGAACAGGCCCTGCCTCTGTCCTGCGCTCCGGCCGTCGAGGGCGGAGGTGGTCGTGAGGACCTCTGGGGCCTGGGTGCTTCCAGGCCGCGTGGATGTCTGAACCTGAGTTTCTCCCTTAATAGCCTGCTGAGTAAAACATGCTTCAGAGGCATTTTAAATATTTATTCTAAGTAGTCTGCCAGCTGCGCGCTCAGCAGTGCCGGGAGCCGGAGTGCCGGGTAAATGGAAGTAGTTGGCTTATTTATAGAACAATGGATTTTTGGCAAAAGTTTTAACCTCAGGATTTGGGATCTACACCGAAAAGCCAGCCCATCAAGCACCCTTCCGTGGGCATCAAAAGGGGAGGCTTTGACACTTTGTTCTGCGGCCTGAGACGGCTTTGTGCTGTCAGAGGTGGGTTCAGCCAGTCCAGTCGTGGCACGGTGGTCACCAGGCGACTCACGGACACGGGAGCTTCCTGTGGAGTGGAAGCCCAGTGAGGCGCCGTCCTCGGCTACCCCGCTGTGCTGGCTGGGCACGCCGTGGCACTGCGTACAGTCCGGCTCCAGAGGCCGCTGCCTCTCACATGGGCTGTGGCCCGCATCCCTCAGGGCACGACCCGTCTTCCTCCAGCAGCGTTGGCGCTGGGCCCACGGCTGACCCTCTGAGGACAGGCTGTGCAGGCTGGTCGTGCCTGTGTCGGACTTGAGGTGTCGCGACCCCTTCTCGTGTGGCGTGAGTGCCCTTGACCCTGCCCTCCTGCTTTGAGCTCCTACCTGGCATTTCGTGTGCTTCCAGGTGTTTGGAGCTGGAAGGAGGGAAGGCAGGGGCGGGGTGGGGCCAGCACCCTAGGGCTATTTGCCAAATGCCTGGGCTCCGGAAAGTGTATGTGCTGGGTTTGGGCCGCTAAGAAATTCAATGTCAGTTGTCAGTCTCAGCCTGCCGCATCCAGAAGTCTCTTCAGAAGGGCAAGCTGGCAAGGTGTGGCAGCCCGCACACCTGTGGAGTGGCGCTGGTGTGGGCCGTGGCTGTGTGCCCCCTGCGCTGGCACTGTGGTGGCCGTGTATGTCACCATGTGCTGGAGGTGGGGGGTGTCCAAGGCAGTGGAAACCCCTTTCACTCCTACACACTTGCTAGCCTCTGAAAACAGAGGACGTGTTCCTAGTGTGGACCGTGTGTTCCCAGCCTGGCATCCCAGGGAAGAGGCCGCGCAGGCTGGCGGGGCCCGGCACGGCTGAGCCTCTGTCCTCCGTCGCGTTGGTCTCCAGAGGCAGGCGGTGGGAGCTGAGTGCCGGGAGGGGGGCCCTCGCCGGCGGCTGGCGTTGGTCTCCATCCTGGGGAGGGGCCCTGAGCAGCCTCTTTTGGTTTTCACATTTCCCCCGGCTCAGCTGTCTCTGGAGCGGCACCGCGCGGGGTGTGTAGCACGCAGAACCCCACAGTGCTGGCGGCCTGGAGAGGAGAGGAGTTCCCGATTCTTCTTCCGGCATCGCCCCTGTGCCGTGTGGAGGGCCGGGGCGTCTGTGTCCCTCGGAAGTGGGCTTCCCTGAGTGCTGGTAGGAGAAGCCACAGTTCTGCCTGGGCCACCTGGCTGACAGGTGCCCTGTGAGATGACCGTTGCCCAGCTGCTCCGAGGCGGGTCCCTGTTGCCTTGTTGTTGGGACAGCGACATCCTGGCTGGCAGTGCAGAGTCCTTCCCCGCCCAGGGACGGGCTCCTGCTTCTGGGCTAGGCTCACTGGGTTCTCCCTCTGCTGTCTGCGCGCCCTGAGGGGTGCGCTTTTCTCTTCTAGGACCCACAGCAGCCTGTGTCCACATAGTGACTGACCCTCTTAGAGCAGGATTGCGGAGCTGCCGCTGCCCGCCCCGCTTTGGGCTTGGTCTGAATCTGGAACCGAGCTCAGCGACACCTGTCACACACTGGTCCTTCCGGGGCACTTCTCAGACCTCACCTGTGGTGGAGGGCACCTGTCTTATTTCCAGGCCTTTTGTAGAGTAAGACCGCGTGGCCGTGGCGCCATGGCTGCTTGTGCTCGCCCCTCTCGTGGACCGGTGTGCGGAGGGGTGTGCACGCCAGCGGGTCTGACGTTTGCCCGGCCAGGTGGGGGTGTTGCCCACCGGACACAGGGCCTGAAGCTGTGTGCTGGCACTCCTCCCTGACAGGTGCGGAGCAAGCACCGCCCTCGCGTCCGCTGGGAGCCTGGACGTCGGGCGGCCTTCCCGTCCAGTCCTGATGGCTGGCCCGGCCCGTGGGGCTGGCTCTGATGGGGTGGGGCTCGTGCTCAGAGCTGTCAGCGTTGCAGGGCATCCGCCCCTCGGCCTCAGGGAAGTGGAGCGAGCAGTGTCCCCGCCCTCCGGCAGTTATGTGGCTCCCTGCCGTCCTGTCGCTGTGAACCTTGGCTGCCACCGGCCACACTGACCGAAGGCTGTGCCACTGCTGCTTTGGGGTGAGGGAGCTGCTGACGTAACTAGCAGATGACTCACTGTCCCTCCCATCTGCTGAGTCCAGGTCTGTGAGGGGCACGGGAGGTGCGTGATGAAGTCATTTCTCTGGTGATTGGGTAGATTGCCTGCCTGTCGACAGGAGAACCAAGTGTATGGCCCGCCTCCTGAGTGCCCCAGAGAGCGCTGGATGGAGAGGAAGCTCTTAGGCCGGGACCGTCCCTGCAGGGACGCGCTGAGGGTGCCTGCGGCGCTGCAGCCTGGGGAGGCTCTGGGCCTGGACTTGCTGAAGTGCTGTGTCTCGGGCAGCCATTCCAGGCCATTCTCGGGTGCTGGGTTTGTTCCCGGAATGTGTAAGCGGCAGCACTCGATTGTTCTCGTGCTGGCTGACCTCACGGCTCATCTGGGAAGCTCAGAAGGCCAAGTAATTGTTACCCCGTTCATCCCCTTGGCTGCCTGGGAATCAGTGGGGGCCTGGTTGCTAAGGACCAGCCAGTTCCTGGTCCTGTCCGGGCTCCTAGGGCCAGGGTTCATGCCTCAGGGACGGCAGCATGTGCTGGGTGCAGAGGGGAGGCCAGCACAGCCCAGGGTCAGGGTCAGGCGTGGGACGTCTGTGTAAAGCTGAGGTGGGGGTTGGACCACACGGTGCTGCCTCTGGACTCGTGGGCTGGACATCACAGTGGTAGCTGGTGCGTCACCAGGTCTGCTACAAGCTCACCAAAGCTGTGGTTAGGGCGCAGAAAATCAGTCTGTTCCGTGTTTGGTTATTAAATAAGCAGTTGTTTGGAGACAGACAGCTGTCATCCACTGGTTCATTCCCCGAGTACCTGCACCAGGAGGCTGAATCGGGGTGGAGCCAGGAGGTCAGTCCCGGCCTCCCACGCCGGGGAGGGAGGGGCAGGTGCCCAGCCGTAGGTGTCACTGCCGCTCCCCAGGCTGCACGTTGGCAAGAAGCTGAAGCAGTTGACTCAAACGCAGGCACTCCTCGTGCCATGCCAGGTGTCCCAGGTGGAGTCTAGCCACAGGGCAGACATCCTCAGAGTGCATCTTTCTGGGCTGCTATCCCCAGGAGGCCAGAGGGGCATCCCTGGGCCTGGTTGAAGGCCATGGGATGTGCTGATCCGAAAGGATCCCTGTGACCGTGTGGGGCCTGAGCCCTGCACAGCTGCCTGACCATCGAGGTCTGTGTGTGGCTCACGCCAGGCCCAGTGGGCTGGGGTGGTGTGGGTTTTGGGGAGAACCCAGCCCTCCTGCGACAGGGAGATGCAGGCATACCCCGTGGGTGTTGAGGCAGTGCTGAGAAGCAGGGACAGAATCACTGAGCAGGTGGGTTCAGGGGCACTTCCTGTGCAGTGTCTGTGCCCTGACACTGAGCAGGGTGGGCTGTGTAGACTTCCTGCCGACAAGGGGACCGTGGTGATGGTCTCCAAGGACCTGTCATCCAGAGGGGAGCGTACCGGCGCCGGGTGGGCTGTGGGCAGCAGACAGCTGACGCCTGTGGTTTTCTTTCTTTGCCAAGGTACGGACATTGCCGCAGGAGAAGAAGTCGCCATCAAGCTGGAATGTGTCAAAACCAAGCACCCTCAGCTCCACATTGAGAGCAAAATCTACAAAATGATGCAGGGAGGAGGTAGGTCCCTCACCGTGAGAGGAACCAGGGCTCTGCTGGGGGGATGCGTCCTGGCTTGTTTGGGGAGGGGCGGAGGGGTCTGTCCACACTCTGGAACAAGGCACGGTAGTTGCATTCCGAGGCTCGACGGAAAGAAACTGAGTGCTGCCTTCCTGCGTGTTGTCAGGTAACAGTGTCTTAGAAACCGAGGCTTCATGTGACCTCGTGGTCCCTGGGTGTGGCCTCTGCCTGCTCTCCACCCTGGGCCCCTTCAGACTCTGGGCTCCCGTTCTTCCTGGCAAAATGAGGACTTTGAAGATGGCTGCCTGTGACTCAGCCTGTGTGCTCTCCCCGTCCTGAAACCTCACCCCAGGGCCTCGGAGCCTGGCTGGAGGGCCAGCTGTGGAACCTGGACGTGCCATCCCGATCCAGGGTGACCGCGCTTCTGTGGGCTCTGAAGTAGCCTGCCTGGTGGAGCACGGAGGAGTTTCCTTTGGGGTCTCAGAGCCGTGAAGACTCGGCACCCGTGGGCATCCGCAGGTCCCGCCTCGGGCTCCTGGAGGGGACGGCAGTGCCTCTCCCTCTGGAGGCCCTGGCGGTCAGGAGCCCTGTGGTGCTTTGCTCTGCCCCGGGCGCCCTTTGCATCCCTTTCGGCCACGGTGGTGGCGCCTTGGATGCCTTCCCTCAACCAGAGTGGTTTCAGCTGAGTGCCGACGGAAACCAGAGTTGCCGAGCTTTGCTGGGCGAAGTGAAGGTGACCCCCCGTGCCCTTGGCGGCACAGACGCCCCCAGCAGCACGCGCCTGTGTCAAGTGTCCGGAGGAGGCCGAGGAGATGGAAACTCCCTGGTGCCCACCCTGTCGTGCCCTGGCCGTGGCCCAGAGAGAGGTGGACAGAGTCCCAGCCCCGAGTGTCTGCACTCGGGGTGCCCTCAGCAGAGGTCGTAGGGGTTGAAGGTTGTAACAAGTTGCAGGGAGCAAATGATGCAGGCTTCGGCCTTTGGTGGCTGGGAGCTGTGCCGGGGGCTTGCACCTGACAGCGGCACAGCCGGTTAAGCTGTGGCTGCGATGCTGGCATCCCAGCAGCGGAATGCAGATTCAGGTCCCAGCTGCTCTGCTTCTGATCCAGCTCCCTGCCGATGAGCCTGGGAAGGCAGGAGATGGTGGCCCGAGTGCTTGGCACCTGCCACCCAGGTGGAGCTTCTGGCTTCAGCCTGGCCCAGCCTGACCCAGCTCTGGCTGTTGGAGCCATTTGGGGAGTGAACCAGAGTGGAAGATCTCTGTCCATCTGTTTTCTCTTTTTGTCTCTCTGCCTTCCAAATAAATCTTGACATCAAGGAACAGCACACCTCGGGGCAGGGGCGGGGGAAGAGCCCCTTAAAAGCCCAGCTCGGGCACTGGGTGTAGGACAAGGTCTCACTGCTGCTGGCTGTGGGGCTGCCATGTACTGTGGGAGGCTGGGCAGCAGGCTGGGTGTGGGAGCGCCCCTCCCCTTGGTCATGGCCTTCTGCTCTGTCGTAAGGCAGTGCCACCTGCCCCAGGGGAAACGTGCCTTTGTTTAGGACCCCTTGTTGGAGCCATGGGAGTCACTTGCTCCCTCTTTGCTGCCCATGTCTCTTCTCCAGGATCTTGGAAACCAGTAGGATTCCAGAAGTGAACCCTTTGTTGTGTGGGCTTTGCATGTAAAGCCACGTTGGGCACTGCCTAGGCACGGGCCAGCTTTTACACCTGTTCTCAGTGCATGCCTGGCAGGTACCATGAAGTCAGAGTGTGTCCAGGAAACCAGTGCTCGTAACTCAGGTCATTGACATTCTGAGACCAAACTGGAGTCACAGACAGGGTTGTAGGAGTTGCTGTGCCCAGAATCCACCTGGGGTTCCTGTGGTCCAGCCTTGGCCGGACATGTCCTTTAGGTGGACACGAGACAGCACAAATGCCTCTGACTGTGGTTGGTTGGTTGGTGTTTTCCCCCTCAAATTTGGGAACCACATACTGGTATTCAGGAGAGCCCCAGTCCGACCTGGCTTATGTCTGATTGGCACGAGTGGTGCTGCAGGAGGAAGCTGAAAGCCAGGCGCGCCCTGCCTCCTGCTGCTCTCAGCACTGGGGTCAGCCAGGACCTCCCACGCGCCCGTCAGGCCCAGCCGACCTCTGGTCCTGTGCAGGAGAATTGGTGTCATTAGCCTTGGGTTCCCAGTGGAGACTGAGGCACGGGTGACCATGTTACCTCCCTGAGGACACGGGCTTGAACTTCGGCATTCCACTGCCTGCTCTCCACAGCGGTCAGCTGTCGGGAGGGTGCCCCAGGTGCTCCCACCTGTCCAGAATCTGGTCGGGACAATAGATTACAAATCAGAAATAAGCGGAAGTTAGCTGTTGGATGGACAGCAGGCTTTTATCTGAGTGGAGCAGCGCCAGGGAGGACCTGAAGGCTGTTAGCTGCTCTCCCCAGAAGCCACTGCGGCCACTTCCTCAGCCGAGCGCGTTTCCGTGGTTGCAGCTGTGTGCAGTGGGCAGGCGTGGGGGGTGGGGCTCTGGCTCGCAGGGCGGCCACTGCCTGCCCACCACCATCTTCTCGTCCTGACTCTTTCACAGTACCAGATAACGTACCCAACAGGTCAGGGGTCAAGAACGTTAAAGTGGACCCCCAGGAGTGGGGTTATGGCCCCCAAGGAGCCGGGCACCCGGGGCAGCACACCAGCCCCTGCTTGCTCTTTGTTTTCACCAGAGAAATGTCTAGAAGCACTAGTGATGCTTCAAGGCTGGAATTTTTATTTGCGATAATGCAGTCTTCAACTTTATGATGACACTTGTCACACGCTGGGATGGAAAGCGTTCGCCGGTCCCTGGCCTCCGGGCTTGGATGAAGCCTGTGTGTAGGGTCCGGGCTGCGGGGGGTGGGGTGGGGTGGGGTGTGGCGGGACGGGCAGGCTGGGTGCCGCCGTCGTGGTGTGGCAGTGGCCACACTTGGGTCGCCGTTTTCTAACTGCTGGCCCCACAGGCTGCTTCAGGAACTCGAGTCCACATGTTGCTGGTACGAGATGTGTGGTTCACGGTGGCCCCCTGGCCGGGCCTGTGCCGGGAGGTTCCTGCTGCACAGGGGCCTCTTGGCCGAGGGCGCCCTGGGGCTCCCCTGCGGGTCAGTCTGCCGGGGCGCGCGCAGCAGGCAGAAAGCTTTGCCTCCTCTGAGCAAAGGCACTTTGCTTTTACTGTGTCGTGTCCGGTCTCGGATGCCATGGATAGGGCCACCGTGTCATTTGCCACTGAAGAGACAGAGCTGCCGTGGGGCACGCCCCCGGTTGTAAATGGGTCGGAGCCTGTCCGTGCGTGACCCCTGAGTACCGCATTTTGTGAGTGTTGTGGGTGTAGCCACAGCGCATGGATTGCGGTTGCTGCGTCATGCCCCGTCATGCCTGTGTACGGCGCTGCACTTCCTGCACTGCACTTCCTCCACGGTGAGGAGCTGTGGGTGGTTCCTACAGCCAGTGCCTCTGGGGACTCCCGTGCACTTGCCACAGTCCCCCAGCCGGCGTCTCCAGCTGAGTGGGGGCTCCTTCGTGGCTGCAGTTGACAGGCCCTTCCAGAAAGTGCTCAGTGTCTCTTCTGAGGGGTGGTGCAGACCTGAGCTGCCGCCTGCCTGCGCCAGAGCTCGGTGTGTGCCGCTTCCTCGTTGTCCTGCGTGTCCCTGCTGGTGCTGCCCCAGGCAGCACACAAGAATGAGGACAGGAAAGGAAGAAATAAACCTGTTGTTTATGGAAAGTAGAGTTTGCCACGTGGGGAACACAAGGCAAATTAGAAAAGTGTTTTTTTGTTTTCTTTTTCTTTTCTTTTATTTGGAAGGCAGAGATAGGCAGATCTGTCTGCCGGTTCTCTCCACGGAAGTACAAAATTTGGCTCCTGGCTGGTCCAGGCTGAGCCAGCAGCCCGGAACTCCACTGGGGTCTGCACGTGGACAGCAGGGGCCCACGTGCTTGGGCTGTCATCCTCTGGCTCCCCGGGTGTGCAGGAGCAGGAAGCTGGACACAGAGGCAGGCACTCTGATGTGCAGACATGAGTGTCCCGGCCAGCAGCTCGCTTTGCCAAACACCCGTCCCCAGATCAGAAAGGTCAGCAAGATACTAAAATAAGGTCAAAATAGATAATCAATTCATTTCATTACACTGACGGCCCACTCAGTTAAAAATTGTGATTTCTCTCTCTTTTTTAAAGACACTTATTTGAAAGGCAGAATTAACAGAGAGTTCTTCCATCCACTGATTGCTTTCCCAAATGGCCAGAGTTGAGCTGATCTGAAGCCAGGAGCCAGGAGCTTCTTCTGGTTTCCCACATGGGTGCAGGGGCCCAAGGACTTAAGGCATCTTCGCTGCTTTCCCAGGCACATTAGCAGGGAGCTGGATCGGAAGCGGAGCAGCTGGGACCTGAACTGGTGCCCGTAAGAAATGCTAGTGCTGCAAGCAGCAGCTTTACCAACTACACCACAGTGCCAGCCCCAAAAGAGGGATTTAAACCAGTCCACTGGTTCACTCCCCAACTTTCTGTGACAGTCGGGTCTGAGCTGGGCTGAAGCCAGGAGCTGGAACTCAGTCTAGGTTTCCCTCGCGGAAGGCAGGAACCTGGGCTCTTGAGCCATCCTCAGGGCCTTCCGGGGTCCGCATCGGCTGGAGGCTGGAGCCAGAGCCGAGTGTCGAGCTCGGGTGCTGGGACACAGCGTGCTGAGCGTCTGTTTCTTACTTATATGATTCATTTTATTTGAAAAGACGGAGTTACGGGGCGGGGGGATCTTCCATCCACTGGTTAACTCTCCAAATGGCCGTTAACGGCTGGGGCTGGGCCAGGCTTAAGCCAAGAGACAGGAACTCCACCTGTATCTCCAATGGGTGGCAGGGTCCCAAGTGTGTGGAGCAGATTCTGCAGCTTTCCCCGGCACATGGCAAGGGCCTGTATTGGAAGTGGAGAGCTGGGACCCAGCCTGGTGCTCCCATACGGGAAGCCGGCATCGCAGGCAGCACAGCACTAGCCCCAG